GCTATAGCCTATTGGTTCTGCTTCTCTGGAGAGTGCCAGTACAGACCTTCTGTACTTGGGGCTGTTGCCACAGCTTGCCTCATTGCAGTCCTGTGACCTTGAGCACTGACTCCTCTCAGAGGTGTCTCCTCATTGGTAGAATGTAAACACCACGTCAAACCACAAAGTGGTCAAGGGCATGGTGGTAAACCACATGAAAGTGCCCAGGGTGACTCCCACCACTGAGCAGGTCTCTTTCCTGTGGCAAGCTGGGCACTTGTTCATCAAAGTCTCTGCCTATGGAAAGACCCCACCAGGTGCCATCCCCAATGTTGCCTGACCCCCTCGCACTGTTAGAGAGATTGGGGAGGACTTGCCCCAGCCTCATGGCAAGTGAAGTTATCCTCAGAACAGGGAGGACTCTGGTGTCTACCCTCCCCCAGGTGTCTTCCTGCCTCCATTGCTCAGGCCATTTCACAACCCTGAATGACTTCCTCTGCCTGACAAAACCTACCTATTCCTTCAACTGCAGCTCAAGCCCCCATTCTTAGGTGAGTGGTCAGGTACCTGGGTTCTCCTTCGCCCAGCAAATGTTGACTCAAGTCTTCTTCCACCATCGCAGAGAAATACCCGCAGGAGGTTTGTCTGGTTTTTTTGGGCCAAACTGTTCATGGTTTCTAACTTTAGTCTCCTCCTACGGACCATGGGATTACCAATACTTACCTCTTAGATTTGTTGTGAGGCTTTGAGGAAGTAATGCAGGCATGAGCCCAGAACACAGTAGGTACTCAATAAATAGCTCTTATCCTCACCCTGGGCACTCTCTGAGCCCAGGGTTCTCAGCAGAGTCTGCACTGTGGTTTCTCAGGCATGGTTCTGACTCCTTGGCTGGTGTGAACACTCTGAGAGTGGTGTGTGTGCGTTGCTCCTCCCAGTATCCCTACAGAATGGACCTTGCGCAAAAGGAAGGGCCAGAGAAGCTGCAAGCATTAGCTATGAAGACAACACTTGGCTACCCTGCTGGGTAATTTGCTGCCCAAGCTCAGGACTCATTTGCTTGTTAGCAGTCTGAGATGGAGCAGTAGCGTGGTTCTGAAGAGGAACACACCAGAGACCTAGGGGAGTCTTGGGCCACTGTGGTCCCACTTGGTCTCAGTGCTTCACCATTCTACTGATGGCTGTGCAGAGACCCAGGGATGTAGGCAGACTTCCTCAGTGCTACACTGCAAGCTTAAACCGGCTGGAGCAGGTTAGGACCAGGAACAACTCTTCACCTTGTACTTACCCATGTCTAGAGGGCTGAGGACACCTCTCATGACTAGGAAGAGCAGGAACACTCAAGGGAAGGGACGGTCCCACCTGTTTTCACATCCTTGTCTAGGCATGGAATCTGGTAGGGGTTCAGTAAAGGACCCAACGTTCCTAAGTCTGCAGCTCTCAGCAGAGAGTGCCTGCTCTTTGGTGCTTGGTTCCCTCTGCCACGCCACAAGAAAACTTAAGAGTGAAGTAGTCCTTCACTTCTTTTCCAAAGCTCTTTCCTCTGGTTATTTGCAGTGTTTAATAGAACTAGGCTACAGAGCCACACTTGGCCAGCAGGGGTCAGTAGCACACACTGCAGACTACTGGTCTACCAGGCAAATTAACCCCTCATGTTATCACTTCTGTCGCTAACGTTCTGCAGATCAGGTTTCCCGGGAAGAAGGGAGACCCACATTTCCACGACTCAGCCTCTTCTTGTCTTGCTGCTGACACTTGCCTAACACAAAACACCTTCAGACACGAGGAAGAAAGGTGATAGGGGCTAGGTGACTACCACTCCTGTGGCTCTAAGAAATGAGGAGATTTTTCTGGACCCTCTTTGGATCACATTTGTAGTGTTCTTTCCTGTGAGCATGTATTAGTAACTAACAGAAGGTGCTAGGTGCCAGATCGGGGATTGTAGGAAAGGACTTGACCAGACAGGAATGAGCAGAGCTTGTGAGATGATTTTGTTGTACTGAGGGCTGGCAGGACAAAATGAGCTCTGTGTATCAAGTGGGCATTTGGAAATCTCAGACAAAAATTTAGAGATTTTTGTCTAAGTTCTAAGTAATACTACAAATACTTTTCAATTTTAGGTAATTTTCATTCAGAAAATAACCAGAGCTTTACCATTCATACTCAAGAGTTCACAGGATCTTCAGAATCACTCTGCGTTTGAGACAGGAGCTCAATTGTCCCCCATTTTAGAGATGTGAAAACTGAGTCTGGTAGGGGAAGACTCTGGAGCCTAGACCAGGGCTGCCAGTCCCCATCTCTTTCCACGCCACCATGGCTGCCTCAGACATGAGGGCCCACCCACTTGGACGGGCACCTGAGCTTCACAGCAGCTGTTTCTGCCTCTGTGAGGTAGCTATTTCTTTCTTAGGGCCTTGGAGCATGGGAAACAGAAAGGCAAAGTGATTAAGAGATACGAGTCTCTTAAAATGAGTTTTCTTTCTGGTCCTGTTTTTTACTAGTTGTGAAACTGTGGGCAAATTACTTGACTTCCCTGTGCCTCAGTTTCCCCAATCTATAAAATGGGCGAACTGATAAGTAAATAAAGCAATAAATAAATAGGACGGAGAGTTCTTATTTTACAGAGTTGTCATGAGGATTAAAGACAGAACTTTTGGAATGTGTCGAGCACACACACAGCAAATAGTGAACACCTTCTTTTGTAAAACAGTCGGTGCATGCTTTGTGAATGGTGAGCACGTGAACCAAAGGAAGTGGGGAGTTCCAAAATGCCAACGGCTTCCAGCGTGTTTCTAACCAGTATGCTGAACGGAGCCAATGTGGTTTGGCAGGCATACCATGCAGGTGATAAAAACTGGGAAGAAAAACCCAACAAATACCTCGCTGCTGGGAACAACCACATGGGAGTTTGTTCATTTCTTTACTTTTTAAAAATGAGCATGCAAACACTCTTGTGCCCTTTGGATCCTCAATAAAAACATTCATTATGCAAAACAGTACAACCTTTTTCATTTTTTAATAATACTGTAAATATCTCAGAAAGGATGTATTGTTTCTAATGAATATCAAAAAAGTCATCACAATGACCCCTGTCCACACACTGCCCTCCCAGCTCCCCCTTAAAGTTACCCAAATACTAGTAGGAAATTACAAAAAAACAAAAACAAAAACACAAGCCTCCCTCCTCTCTGCCCCGTGAGTAGTGTTAAGAGTGTCAAGTGTGAAGAACCACATGTATGATGCGTGCATCCATAATGACAGACCACGGGGATCTGTCTGTCCCTCTGTTCTTGAGGGAGTCAGTGATGAGGACCAGTAGCAGCAGTGGGCAGCCTTCCTCCCTGGGGCTGGGAAGAGAGCGATCAGGGACCAACCATGCAGGGGATCTTCCCGGGCCCACCAGGTTGGATAGCTCAGGGAGATGCTGGCCTTCCTACAAGGATGCTGACTGTCTATAAGCAACTGGGCAGGCCTGAGCTGTGTGCTCCAGAGAGGCCCAAGAACGAGGGGCACTGGGCAATCCCCTGAGCAAACCAGGCTTCAGAGGGGGCTGGTTAAAGCGGGGAAGCGGGGAGTGTGGAAACCTGGGGGTGAGTGGAGCACACAGGTGTTGAACAGACAACTGAACTCTTAGCTTGGAGAAAGCTCACATTTCTGCCAAATGAAACTATCAGCCCAAAGGAAAAGGAGAACTGAGCACATTCTCCACCCAGTAGCTCAGGAGCCCAGGAAGAGGCTGGGCATAAATCCAACAAGTAATTAAGAGCTCAGCCAAGGAGACCTGAAGACAGGCTGAGGGAGTACAGCCCTGGCCACCCTGTGGACCCCACATTCACCAGTTTCCCCCTCCAGTAGGAGCTGAGGCTTCCTGGGCCCTGGTGACAGAAGCAGGGGGACTGGCTTCAAGCAGGATCTGCCAGGACAGGCAGGATGGGAGGGAGGAGAGCAGGGAGCACCAAGAGGGAGAAAAGGTGGCTGAAGGACAGAGAGAGAAGGAACCTTAGGTTGAAACCAGGCCCCAGGCCTCACTGTCACTTGCCCCCATAGGAGGCAGCAGAAAGGTCCTAAGCCACAGACCCTGGTCAGGGCAGCTGCAAGAAGAGATGGCCACCTCCTGACCGTCCTCCATGGTCACTCTAGCCACCCTGCCCAGGAATGAGGGACAGAGCCAAGAGTAAGAATAGATGACCAGGAGGGCCAGATGGGAGGAGCCCCTGCCATGGGGCCAGGGACTGGCTGATCTCCAGGGAATGAGGGGAAGATTAAAAACTAGAGTTTTGGGGAAGGCACACATTACCAGTCATTCCATGACAGATGGGATTTTAAATAAGCAGGTGGGGGAGGGCTTATTGGGGGGGAGGTAAGAGATGATACCTGCAAGTCTTCTGAAGTAGCCAAGGTCAGCAGCAGCCCCTCAAGGTATCGAGGCAGGAAGAGAACACTGGGAAGACGTCCCATTCCAGCCCCTCTCCCAGTTGGGTAGGTGGGGAAACTGAGGCCCAGGGAGGGGAAGGGAGCGTCTACTGTCACTGAGTGGGTAGAGTGGGTCTGTAACCCAGGAGGCCCGAGGTGTGGGACTTTTTCTTCTCTACTATGTGACTTTGCTGCCTGCAAAGCCCATTGCTGGAAAAGGGATGGTTCAAATGAAAAACTGTCCTGGGTGAGGGGGCACAGAGGAGGGCAGCTGTGGATGGTCGGGGCAAACCCAGAACTGGAGCAGAGGGCTTAAAGAACCAACAGAGGAAAATGGGCATGGCTTCCCACCCCACCTGCCCTCAGCCCAAGTATAAAAGTTTTACAATATGATACAGGAACCCCTAGAAAACACAGGTTAAAACCCCTAAGACAAGGACCTGCTAGTCACTGTACAGTGTTATCTCTGTAACGGATATGTCCACAATCACGGGGGCTGGGGGAGGTGACTTTAAACCAGAGTGTACAGTGGCCAGCTGGAAATTAACTTGTTAATACTTCCTGTGCAAATGAGAAGCCCCTACCATTAGGTAAAGAATGCATTTCAGGTATTCATTTACACACACGGGGAGGGAAAGGAAGAGAAGCATCCGGGTGACAGGTGGTGGCTCAGAAGTGCGTCTCCTTCTCTGTGATGGCAGCGATGGAGCCGTCGCCCTTGAGCTTGGCCTCACAGTCATTAACCATCACCGTCCGTGGGCCTGCCCCAAGCTTGCCCCGCATTTTCAGATCAGCACTGGGGACTGTCAACTTCCGGAATTTCTACACGGTTGGAAAGGAGAAGGAGGCTATGTTAGAGGAGCTGCCAGGGCTGAGGGGTTAGCCTCGGCCTCCTCTATTGCACAGGTGGACATCTCAGTGCTGTAACACCACCAGACCGAGGGCTGGGCCTTGGGTGTACTGTATTGCTCTGTCCTGGACCACACATTGACTTCCTTGGGTCTCAGTTCCCTCCTCTGGAAAATGGGCACAACAGAGGTCCACTCTCCTGGCATTAAGTGAGGAGTAAGGAGATGCTGGTGCAGAAGCACATGACCTTGATGTGGCTTACAGAAGGTGATCAGGATTTGAGAGCTACAATTAGGGCCCAATGCCTCATTCTGTCCCTCTGATGAGATGGAAGAGCTGGGGTTTGAACTGCTGTTCAGCCACTTGCTGTGCTGGGCAAGAACTTTAAGGTCTGCAAGCTGCACTTTCCTCATCCTTGGTATGGGATAACAACCTCTGCCTGGAAGTGATGGTTGCTAATGTGATGGGAGCTGGACAAACAGAGACATGTCCTTTACCAAGGAATATTAAGAGCTGGCAGAATGGCTCAAGTGGTAGAGTGCTTGCCTAGCAAGCATGAGATCCTGAGTTCAAATCTCATTGCCACCAAAAAAAAAAAAAGAAAGGAATATCGTGCTGCTGCCATCCAGGGGAACGTGTGATGTGTGAAATGCATTGTGTGTAATGTGCTCCTTGGAGGCAAAAACCCTGCCCCTAATCCCAATATTCATAGCCTTGGCAGAGAAGCCCCAGCACTGGGCTGGGCATGGATGGATGGCTATACTTCCCCCACCAAGGCAGGATGGAGCCCATGGCAGCCTCCTGCCTCTCAGGATGGACCCCCTCAGGCCCCCACCTCTGCTTCATCTGTATTCCCCAGAGCCCTGCTGAATATAAGCCCTTTCCTGAAGAAGGCTTAAGGACTTTGGGATGTCTTCTTATGCAAGGTCAAGGTTTCATCTCCTTTTTAGGCCCAGCTGTGCTAAGAGGCTGAACTGACAGTCTCCAGGTAGGACTAACAGGAAGACTCCCAGGAACTGACGAGCAGATGCCTCCTGGGTAGGGTGTAGAACTTATGCTCTGGAGTCAGGCATCTGGGTTTGCATCCCAACTTTACTACCTCACACAGGTAAGAAACTTAACCTCTCTGTGTCTCAGTTTCCCCATCTGTAAAAGGGGATAGTAATGGTACCAGCAGTCTAGTGTGATTGTGAAGCTCAGATCAGTGGAGCAGCCACAACTCTTAACACGTGTCTTCTGTCAGTGAGATCTTTTCCTAGAACAGGTCTCCCAGGAGGGTCCCTGGTCCCCACTTCCTTCCAGATCCCTCCTGCCCATCAGCAGCAGCTCTGTGAGACCCAAGGTGCAGGGTGCGAATTAACTGGAAGGTCTCTAGGAAGGAAGGCTGTAAGCTTGGTCTGACCTGCTTCAAAGAACTGGCTTTACTAAACCCTGATGTCTGGGTTTGTGGAGTGTGAGTTGCTAGGGGGATGGGAAGGGAGGAAGCTCAAGAAAGCAACCTCTTCCTCTCCTCCCCCACCAGGCCTGAGAGATTCTCTGGGGGTTCATCAGGAACTCTGAACACCAAAAGGCCACCTGGAGGGTTGGGTAGAAAGTGGGGACTTCCAGTGGCTGAGGTTTTAAGACCCCCCATGTCAACTCCCTTCTGAGGTCAGAATTCATCAACTGCCTTTGACCATCACTCCCTGTAGGCAAGGAGGAACCCAACATGCTGGGGTGGGGGTGGGGGTGGGGGGTGGGGACAGCAGGCTTGAGAGAGGGACTTTCCCAGACTGGCAGCTTCTGCCCACTGATCTCCTATGCCTGACTCCCTCTGGTCTTAGCCTTAAAGATAAAGTTTAGCTCCCGTGATCTCAGTGATGTGGCTCTGGGACAGGACGGAACCAGAAATGGAGAGCAGCCGGGACCGTCCTGGAGAAGATGTATGCCCAGGATTGCTAGGAGGGTGAAGTGACACAGTATTTGTAAACTACATAGGACAGCATGGAGCACATGGGAATCACTGCTGTCTGCCAAAGCAGCAGAAAGAGACTCCATCCATCCGACCAGCTGACCGGCAGGCACAGAAAGAGTAAATCCCCAATGTCAGGACACTCAGTGTCAATCCACATTTGCTTCATCCCCAGGTCTCCCAGTTCTCCCAACCTCTGCAACTTAGGCACCACTGTTATTCCATTTTACAGACGGGGAAACTGAGGCTGAGTTCACAGAACCTGTCTCAACCTTGAGGTCTCACAGAGATACATCTAGGGCAATTATAATGGCAATTGGCTGCCAGAAATGAGCCTGCCCTGGCTTCCCCATGAGACAGGTGAGGCACCTTTTCATCCTGTCCACTGTCCAGGTGAGGAGGCTGAGAGCCAGAGAGGCACCAGGCCTCACTCAGGCTCCTCAGCCCTCCCGTACTTCCTTCTGCCCCTCAGGGTCGCCCCTGCTGGCCTTCTTAAGCTGTCTCACCTCGGGCAGCGTGCCCTCCGTCTTCCACACTTTGATGAAGACCCAGAGTGGAATGCATATCATCGAGGACAGTGCCATGAGCCAGCCGATGCCGTAGCCCCAGGCAGGGTAGGTGTAGACATTATTGTACTTGAGTGGCTTGTACTTGACCAGGAAGAAGATGAAGATACCCTACAGAGAGAAAGAGGTTCCTGGGGGTGGCCTTCTGCCTTGCTTAACCCCCACAGGCCCAGGCCTCCCTGCTGGTCCACAGTGAGTGTGAGGCAGGACAACTCAGAGGCACATCCCATGGGCACCAGACACGGGGACTATGACCCTAGGTCCCAGACTCCCAGAGGTCTTGGGACCCTGCTAGGTTTGTGAGACCTGCCCCATCACCCCCAAGGAGCCTTGTCCCCAGACCTTGTTCCTAGCTACTTCTTAGGGCTAGCTTCTTTGCTGCTGTTCCGGCCTTCAGTGACCTGCAAAGATGTATTCAGAGGCTTCCGGTGCTCAGAAGTGGGCAAAAGTGACAAGGTTGTTTTTGTTTTTTGTTTTTTTTTTCCTTTTTTAAGTTAAATATCCTCTTACCAAGGCTCCACTGTGGCCTGGTCTCAGGGCAGAGGATGAGCCCTGACACTCCCCTCAGCTGTCACCTTTGCAGTATCAAACCTCCTCATTCACACAATTCCCAAGAAGATAGATCCAGCTTACGTTCACAGGATCTGAGACACTGAGAAGGGGGAGACTTGTTCACAGTCACCCACAAAACTAGTAGCAGAGCCTCACTGGGATCTGAGTAAGACCCTGCCTCAGTGAGCTTACAACTGGCCCATGACACCAGTTCCACAATGTGTCAGGTGGCCTGGACCCAGGGACGTTTGCCTTGGCTGTGGGCGGGTGGAGGGAGGGGGGTGGAGGCAGCCCTTACCGCACAGATTCCGGGGGTCACAATCTTCCAGCACCATTTAATGAGCCACGGCGGCGAGTACCCAATCATGTCCTCGATATTGTCATAGAATTGGCTGCTTCCTGTCAGGAGGGAACACAAGTAGGAGACTCAGAGGAAAGGCGGAGGGTTTACCTGCCTCAGCCTGAGGCAGGGAGATTGCAGCAGGACCTAGTCAATGCTTAAACCACCAAAGCACAACCTGGGTGCTAAGTGTCCCCAAAGGTCCATTTGTGAAGGCTTGGTCTCTAGGGTGGTGTCATTGGGAAGTGTTGTGGAGGTAGGGCTTTACCAGAGATCCTTAGGATATTGGAGGTGTGCCCCCAAAGGGGTTTGGGGACCCCAACTGTCCTTTCTCTGATTCCTGGGTTGAAATGGCACCGCTGGCTCTACCTACAACCCCACTATGTTTATGGCTGTTACCAGAGGCCCAAACCAATGGGGCAGCTCAATCTTGGACTTGAACCTCAAGAACCATGGGCTCAAATAAACCTCTCTTCATGTCATAAGTAGCTAGTCTCAGATATTCTGTTATAGTGGTGCAAAGATGACTAATACAGTAGGTGAGGTTTCAGGATGCATGGCACAGGAGGGATTCTGGCTGTTGTTGGAAGATTGCCTTGGGCAATCAAGTCCAGAAAATAGTGAGAATCTGGAGAAAGGCAGAAGGAGACCCCTTTGGGGAGGTGAGGCAAAGTGAAGGACTGGACTGAGGCTCAGGTCAGGGTCTGAGGGTGAGGGCCTGGATGGGTTGTTAGTGAGCAGAGAAGTTAATTTCCAAGTCACACTGCTGGCCTCTGAGCCCGGCAACCCTCACCACGATTGATTTGGGAACAGGAGAACCAGCAAGTGGTGTTGACAAGGGCCAGGCATGTGCTGATTGGTTTTTTGTTTGTTTGTTTGTTTGTTTGTGGGGGCTATTTTTCTGCATTGTCCCCTACTTGGAGACATGGTGATGACCACTCCATTTCATAGATGGGAAACTGAGCCTCATGGTAGGACGGGGCAGAGGTCAGTGCCTGGGCCCTGTTCCCTCCCTGTACTTGGAGTGTAAAGGAAGGAAGGTCTCCCAAAAATGGGAAGGGGCCAAGCAATCCCTGGTGGGGGTGGGCAAGAGTCTGGCCCAGATAAAGACAAGCCATAAAGAGCTGAGCCCACCCAGGTCCCAGCTCTGCTGGGTTGACCTCCACTCACCATACACCCAACCGATGCAGACACACTCGAAGATGGCCACAAAGAGAAGACACATCCCACTGGCAGCATAGGAGTCAAAGAGCTGGAAGATGTACATGCCTCCCTGCAGGTGGGCAGATAGAGACACGGAAAGATGGACCACAGGGGAGAGGCAGGCAGCAGCTGGCCTCAGGCAGGGTCTCTCTGCTCTACTCGGTGACTACTGTCAGTCAGAGTCTTGTTTGTCCCTAATCTGAACACTGCACCCTCCACACCTAGGCACCCTCAGCCCCATCTTTCAGAGCTGCTGAAATCACGCATGGTTGCCCCCCACTGCATCCCGTTCCCAGCTTCCCAAGGGCCAGAGAGCTACTCAGAAACCAGAGATGAGGTGGGGCAGCCTCAGAACCTCCCCCGAATGGCAATAGGCCTCCTGCCTCCCCTCCCTAATCCTTCGGCATACCAGCCTTCTGAGGGCACTTGCCACCACTCCACTCTTGTTTTAAGTTAATCTCGGCCTCTCTCCAGTCTGTCAGTCAGGCCACTGTCCTCCTCCCTGGCCTGATTTCCCCTGCCTACAAGCCATCCTCAACAGACCAAGGGACAGTCTCACCTGGCACCTGGTAAGTTCCTTCAGAGCTCAGATCAAATGTCACCTCCTCCAAAAAGCCCTCCCTGGTAGCCTCATTCTTTCTTTGGGCCTTCATAGTGCATTTTATGAATTCTTACTTAAAAACCAAAAATGCCAATGTCTGTTGCTCTTTAGCTCTGAGCTCCTGTTGGGCAGGCCCCACACCCTGGTCCTTTTTGGCCTCCAGTTCAGCACAGTGCCAGGTGCATAGTAGGCCCTTAAAGATGTAAATTGAATTCTTCAGAGTGTGGGCTCTGCGAGGTGGGACTATGACTAGCTTGTTCAGAGCTATGTCCCAGTTTCTGGTCCAGGGATGGACACATAGTAGGTGCATATTAATCTTTAGGGGATGAAGGATGACTGTGGCTGACTCTGGCCCTCCATATCTGTGGGCTCTGCAGACCCACGGATTTAACCAACCTTGGATTGCACATATATGAAAAAAAAAATTGTACCTGCATTGAACTTTTTTATAGACTTTTTCGAGTAACTGTTCTCTAAATAATGCAGTATAACGACTATTTATGTAGTACTTACCTTGCATCAGGTATTATAAGATTTAAAGCCTATGGGAGGATGTGCAGGTCCTGTGCAAATGCTTACATGTTATATAAGGAACTACTGTGGATTCTTAGTGTCCTGCCTGTGGACACTAAGAGATGATTGTACGTGACTGAGTTCAGTGGAAGTCCTGGGCAGGATGGTCTGGGAAGGTCTGGTAGGAGGAAGAGAGGGGCATGGGAAGGAGAGGAGAGCCCAGTCGAATATTTCAGAAGAGATGGGATCATAAGAAAAATCTTCATAGGCTGGTGGAATAGCTCAAGTGGTAGAGCGCCTGCCAAGTTTGAGGCCCTGAGTTCAAACCCCAGTACCACCAAAAAAAAAAAAACCCAAACCAACTTTATAACATAGGGCGAGGCCTTATGGAGCAGCACAGGTTGTGGGGAAATGAAAGGAAAAGAGCTACAAAGGATCTGGTATGTGTCTGAAAGCCAGGGCCGTGGGTTGCAAGGTCAGAATGAAGCCTACACGGCCTCCCATATGTTTGTCATGGTGACTTACTTGGGATGACTCCTCTGTGCTTGTAGTCCCTGAGTCACCCTCTATCAAGTACAGACCACACAGCCTAGGATCATGCTTCCTCATTTATTCCTCCACCGGATTGGGCGATGGCTCAATCCCCACAGGGCCACACAGAAAACACAAGTGAGAAAAGTAGGTTGGTGTGACACAAGGCATGGTGGGAACTGTGGCAAACTGAAGCATAGGTTCAGTGGAGCAGTGGGCTCCACATTTCCAGTCAATGGTTGTTGAGGGGACACAGCCATGAGGCCTGATCTACAGGCTGTCTGGAAGACACCAGATATTCATATTAAAAGAGGAAAATGCCCCTCTTTTAACTGTTGGCAACTTCTTCATGTTCTAAAAAGCGCCGAGAATGAAACAAAAATGGACCTGTGGGCCGTATCTGGAGGCCTCTCGCCTGCGACAGCTATAGTGGACATCAGGATCTGAAAGTGTCAGGAGCAGGTCCTGGCTAGCAGCAGATTTGGCTTTCTGAGTTAAAACTCAAGATCCTCCCTCCCCATTGTTCTTCATCCATGAATATTGTACATTATAAACAGAACAAGTCTTGGCACAGCATTCATCAATCATGGCGGGGCTTCGCGTAACATTTTGGTTAACAATGGGCCATAAGTGCAACAGAAGTCTCCTAAGACTGCATCCTCTGGTGACCTCCTGGGAGCCTGTGTATATTATTGTGCCTATAATGTTCACACAATGAGACCACCTGACATGTTTGCCAGAGCACATCCCCATCGTTAAGTGCTGCACTTAATTAAGGGTTCTTAATTCACTTCCTGGTCGGTCCTTCCCAACGTGATTTAAGGCAGATGCTACTGTTGTCTCCCATAGTAGTAAAGGGAAACTGAGGCACAGAGCAGCGAGAACGAAAGCTGTAGATAATCAACCAGCTAGCTGAGGGGCTGAGGACTGAACCCAGGCTGTCTGCTTGTAGAGCCCATAGTCGTAATCACTCACCTGGAAGACAGGAAATTGGTGGCCTATATTCTCCTGAGAGCTGAGCTTGAAATGTGTGTAAATGAGGGAGAAGATCAGGCCAGCAATTACTGTCAAGGCTGAGGCTGACACGGCCCATTTGGCAATGTGAACTTCCCGGTGCAATTGCTCACAGATACTCCTCATGGAGGTGGAAGGTCAGCATGTGAAGGCTGAGTGGTGTCTGCTGATTAATGTCTCAGGTGGCTACTGAGCTAGCTCCTTGAGGGGCCCATGGGGTCACAATATACCCCTTGGGCTGATCCCAGATCTGAGCCTCAGATAGAGGGTGGGCAGCAGAGGCTCTGAGAACTGGGGACAACCCAGGCAGGCAGTGCTCCCAGTCAGTGCTTGTTCCTATAACCCAGCCCTGTTAGCAACTTGAAGGCATCAGGTTAACCCCCCAATTTGTATGTGACAAAAGACTCTACTTTGCGTAATTAATCAGTGCTTAATGAGGCCCTCTCACTGCAGCCTAGTTTCCTTATGCGGGGAGAGGTGAGGTGGAGCTGGGAAATGCCTCCCCATTCATTTGCTCAAATGCTGATTATCACTCTCATTAATGTGACAAAGACTAGGCACAGTAATAACACCAGCCACTCCACACTGAGCCCCTGCCTGGGCCAGGTTCTGAGCTGACTCGGGGGCATAAGGCTAGCTGGCTCCTGTTCTGGGGACCTCTAGGTCTGGGGGAGACAGGAGAACAGGCAGATCACTTAGTGGTGAGAGGAGGCTGGGTTGAGCTGGAACAAAGTGCTAGAGAGTGGGCCTGTGACCAGGAGGCAGGCAGAGGAGACACAATGGGCTTCTCAGGAGAAGGTGCCCTGGTAGCTGGACATGAAGGAGAAACAGGTTCAACAAGGTGGCACCAGCTCACAGGCTTTCCAGGCTGACCTGTTTCACGTCAGTCACGTTGACTGCTCCCTGCCAGCCTTTCCCTGCTTCTTACAAAACCAATTCTTATCTCTCAGCAATAGATTTTTTTTCCTTTTAATTTGTCTTTGTGCATGTGGAGAGAAAGATATCTAACCTCACCTTCCCAAGACACTGGAGGAAGTACTAGACAGGATAGATGCAGGAAGGGACAGAGACATGATTTGTGAGACAGCCTGAACTTGGGGGTTGTGGAGAAGCTGCCCCTCACCTGCAGGCCCTACAGAGATGAAGGGAAGAGGGGTATGCACAGAGGGCTGAGACTGGAACATGCAGTACCTCAAGGTGGCAAATCAAAGGTGCCTGTTTTCATAGATGCTCCAGAAAAGTCTGCACTGAAACCAAGACTCATGACGGGGAGCCAGTTCGGGGACTGGTAGCTGACACTGTCCTCTTCATTGGACGTTTCCCTGAGATGATCCAGATGTCCATACACTCATACTTACCAGGCATACACATTTCCTTTGAGTATTTTCTCCTGTTAACCACAGCAGGTACTTTTAACTGAGAGTTGACACATGCACAACCTTGTGCCCATGGCTTAACCAGAACTTGCATACAGACTCATGCATAAGAGGACAAAGTGGAGTAGAAAAGGTCTAGACTGGCCCAAGGTCACACAGCCAGTCAGTCTCAGAGCTGGGGTTTGATGTGAGACACCCCTACCCCAAAGCCCACCACTTAACCCTGGTGCAACACTGACCGTGTCACTCACCTCCGTCAACATCACCAGGCCCAGAAAGTAGGAGACGACCGATAGTGCCAGGATGAGCAGCTCCCGCCTGTAGCCCCTCCGGAAGACCTTGGGGTACATGTCTACCACAGCAGTCACGAGGCTTTCCACACACACAAACTGGCAGGGAGACACGAGAGCATGAAACCAAGGGAAAGACTATTCCTGGTCCTGGCTCTGCGCCAGCCCCGGAAGCCTAAACCTGGGCTTCCTATACCCTGTCTTTGTTCCTGCTATGCCTGACCTCCATCACCACACTCCTTCACCATGATGGAGAGCCTGGTACCATCAGAGCTCTGGTACAGCCATTTAACAGATGAGGACAAGGCTCTCACAGAGGGGAAGTAACCTGCCTGAGTTTACTGAGCATGCAGAGTCTAGACTTGAACCGTGGTCCCGAGGCTCACGGGATGCTGCTGTCACGGGCCTATGTGCTGCCCCTGTTCAGTGGTTAATGGTGTAAATGGGACTCAGCCCCTACCCCTGAGGCAAGGCAGGGGTCTGTTCACCTTTCTGGGATTTCAGTGCTCTCTGCTGGTGGCAGGGTCTGGTCAGTTTTGTGATCTCAGGACTATGGAGGGCAATAGATATGAGACAATACCCAGCTCTGAGTCACCCAGGCACTAGGTGGCAGGGTCTGGCTTTGATCTGGGTCACCTGCTTCAAAGGCTTCAACCCCTATACTGCCCAGAGCAGGAGGGAGGAAGACAAAGACAGGACTGTCTTGCTGGTCACCATGTTGGGAGACTCCCTTCCCTAATCTTCTATGATCCACTGCTATCTCTCCAGGAAAGCTATTTCTACCGTTCATGTGTAGACAAAGGGAAGAAAGCACAGTGAGGGGAATGACTATCCCAGACTCACACAGCTGGTGAAATACCTGGAAGTGGGACCCAATCCCTGCCCTGCCTTCCTTCCTTCAGGGTCCCCAGGGGAGGGAGATGGGATCAAGGTGGACTGTCCACCCAGTATGGAAATGAGGAGATGCTGGAGTGTGTTGGTGAGAGGCAGACAGACCAGGCGCAGGTCCCAGTGAGTGACTCAGCATCTATAAGCCTTGGTTTCTTCTTTAAAATGGGGACAAAAGGGGTCACCAGCCCACATCATTCTTCTTTAAATGGGGTCACCAGCCCACATGATTATCATGACAGTGAGCTGAAAACACAGTCACACAGCAAGAGCAGCCTGTAGCCAGAGAGCCCAGCTTAGCCCAGGGACTGGCAGGGCCCGGGAAGCAGCCCCATCTCCTCTGCCAGGCAGTGCGTCCTGTCACATATACAGCTGATCTCTGCTCTCTCCAGGGCCCCTGCCCGCAACAGAGGAGGGAAGATTATCAGCAGAAACACCTGGTGCTTTGGCAGCCTGGCTTAGCAGTCTCTGGAGAGTGGCTCAGGGAAAAGTCAGACATTAGATGTGGCTGGGTTGGCAGACACAATGTCCATGGGGCTTTGGTGCTAAATGACTTTGGCAAGGTCGTGGATGGGGGCAGCATCGCCTTTCCAGGTTGAGCTGGGCAAGTCTTAGCCTTTATTCTGGTAGGCTCAGGGGGGCTACTTCTTTTGCCTGTTCCACTTTGTTAAAACAGGTCTCTGCCTATACAGCCTCCCAGCCCAGCACTGCATCAACTCTGCAAGAGACCTGTCTGATGGCCAGCCACTGGTGTGGCTGGAACTTCTTTAGACTTTGGGAAGCCAGCTGGGCCTAGCAGCAGGCAGAGGACAGAGCTCTGAGCCTGCTGAACAAAAGGAGGCTACAGGCTTCCACCTGGGTTGGGAGGCCTCAAGGGAGGGAAGGGAGGCAAAGCAGGAGGAGAGGTGAGTGTGTCAACTATTAGAGCTGATGACAGGCCTGCACTGGGGACAGCAAGCTGCAGGGTGTTTGGAGTGTTGACAGAGGCCTATAGGAAGCGATGGGCACAAAGCCAGAGGGTAGGTTGCTGAGGGAATCAATGGCCACCTGCTGCATGTCGTGGTGACCCCAACACAGAGATGGAGGAAGGAAGAAGAGGCATGCTCCAAGGCCCCACCTGCTCAGTGACTTGGCTGGGACAGGGACATAGTTGGCCTCAGTCTGCTCTCTCTCTAGGACTTGCTGCTGGGCAGGGATTGGCTAGCAGAATGGAAGTATTTAGGATGTTTTTAAAAACCTCATTTGGGAATCCCTGGTAGAAAAGACAGTCACAAGGCACGGAGGGCCCTGAGCAGACTGTCTGGTGACTATGGAGGCCATCTAGCGAGTGGTAGGCTGGAGGCAAGCAAGGTGGAGACAGTGCTGGGGCTTTCGTGCACAGGGCCAGGAGGTGATGGCCGGCCCCCAAGTTGGGTCTCTCTGTGCCCCCCACCCCTGCATCTTACCTGACTGTCCAGGCCCAGGAAGATCAGCATCATGAAGAACAGGGTGGCCCACAGTGGGGAGAGAGGCATCATGGTGACGGCCTTGGGGTAGGCGATAAAGGCCAGGCCCGGGCCTGGAGGGAAGGAGCGAGAGAAAGATCATTCCACCCATGTTTTACTGAGCATGTAGTCTGTGCCAGGCACTGTGCTTGGTTCTGTTCCTCACATCTGCAGTAGCTGAGTGTGGACTTGGCTTTCCACGTTATTGGGTATTTACAGTATTCCCGGTTTAGGACTGTCTCTTTCATCAGTACAGTGCAAGTACTTTATTAGCAGGGTTTTGCTTTGCTGGTGGGAGAAGGGTAAGCGCCTGAGATGCTTCCTAAGTTTATGGTAATTTTCTGTTTTGCAGAACTCTACTTCTTTTTCTTAGTTTTCCTTCACCACCTTGTACTTCTTCCTTCCTTTTACCTTTTTTCTCCCTAGAAGCTGTGCTGCCTGCTTTAAATTGTGCTTGTTCCTCTCCATGGCTCCTGCCCCCTTTAAGTCCCACATCTAGAACCCTGTTCTGTGGCCCCTGCTGCAGCATCTGCTGGATCCTTCCCGGTATTCTCTGATTTCCAGTGGGTTTAAGCTAATGGTTGTTCCTGACTGCTCTTAGAACCCTCTGCCAGGCTCTCTTCTGTTTTCCCCACAGTTTTTCTCTGCTTTTGCTCAGTACAAAACCCAGTAGCTGTGCAGTCATGAGCGGTAGTAGGAAAAATTGTGCTCTGGGATTTGGCCATTTTTCAGTTATTTGTAGCTTTGACATTTTCTAAGTTAGAGTTGTGAAGAGCTGGTTTTGTGTAGAGTCTAGTTTTGTAGCGAGAACTAGCTACAGAGCCATCATTGTCTCCAGACTCTGATTATTTTTGTTGTTTGTTGTAGCGTTATTGAACCAGAGCTTCACACATGATAGGCAAGCACTGTATCATTGAGGCACAGCCTTACTTGTTTAAGAGTCAGATATGATTATTATTTATTTTGTAGCTATTTGGTAGAATTCACCAGTAAAACCATCAGGGCCTAGGGTTGCCTTGACATCAAAGTTTTAAATAATAAAATCATTTCCTTAAATGATGTAGCGCTATTCAGTTTTCTATTTCTTCTAGAGACAGTTTGAGTACATTCCATTTCTAAATAAATGTGCCCATATAACCTATTTCGCCAAATATCTTGGCTTGAAGTTGTTTATAATATTCCTTTATTCTCATTTTTAATGTCTATAGGATCCATAGCTCTCTCCTCTTTCATTCCTGATATTAGCAATTTGCGTTTTCTTTAAATTTTTCCTTGATTAGTCTTGCTAAAGGATTACAAATTTTGTTCACCTAACATAAAATTTTGTCCTTTAAAATGTCTGCTGATTGTATGTACCACCTTTATTATTTCTTTGTTCCTATTTACCTTGGGTTTAATTTTACTTCCCTATTAAGCTTAAGATAGAAACTTAATTTTTTTTTTAATTTAAGCCCTTATTTTTTCTCATATAGATTTTAGAAGCTCTAAATTTCCCAGTAAATACATTAACTGTAACCCACAAGTTTTGATATGCTGTATCTCCATTACCATTAAGCTTGCAGAATATTCTGCTTTGAACCATGGAGTTTATAGAAGTTGAGTTTACATGTTTGGGGACATTCTAGATATCTCATTGTTAGATTTCTAATTTAACTCAGTGGTAGCAAGAGAACACACACAGAATACTTTCAATCTTTTGGAGAACACTGAGGCATTTTTTGCGATCCAAGATATGATCTGTCTTGGTGAATGTTCCATGTCTGTCTGAAAAGATTTATACTTGGTAGTTGCTAGCTACAGAGCTTTATAGATACCAATTAACACATTGTGGTTGACTATGTTCAGATGTCTATGTCTTCATTGATACTCTGTATAGTGGTTCTATTGCTAGTGGGACAGGGTGTTAAAATCTCCAACTGTGAGTACAGATTTGTCTTTTTTCCCTTCCGTTTCGTGATTGATTGGTTGATTGATTTATGGTGCTAGGGTTTGAACTCAGGACCTCACACTTGCTAATCAGGTGCTCTATCAATTGATCTTCCTCCCAGCCCTTTTTTTGCTTTAGTTATTTTTCAGGAAGGGTCTCCTGTTTTTGCCTAAGGCTGGTCTCAGATTTTGATCCTCCTACCTATGGTCTCCCGTGTGGCTGGGATCACAGGCACATGCTACCATACCTGGCTTATTGATTGAGAAAGAGTCTTACTAACTTTTTGCCTAGGCTGGCCTTTAACTGAGATCTTACTGATCTCTGCCTCCTGAGTGGCTGGGATTATAGGTGTGAGTCAATTTGCCCAGCAGTTTCACCAGTTTTAGCTTTATGTATTTTAAATGTTTATCTGATGCATACACATTTAGGATTGTTAGATCTTCTTGATGAATGCCCTTTTTGTCATGATGAAGTGTCTGCCTTTACCTTGAGTCGTACTCCTTGACTTGAAGTCTACTTTATCTAATACTGTAAAGCCAAGTCAATTTTCTATGCTTATCAATGACATGTTCCATCTTTTGCTATTCCTTAAATTATAGCTTGTCTGTCTGTGCCTTTACATTTAAAGTGTGTCTCTTTTAGAACCTTGCAGTTGGTGCACTTCTTTTTTAAATCTAGCCTAATAGTCTCTACCTTTGGTATTTGGCACATTTACATTTAATGAAGTTATTGATCTGGTTCAGTTTAAATTTACTGTTTTGTATTTGTTTTCTTTTTGGTCTTCAGGTTTTGTTTATTTATTTGGCTTTGTTTTAGTCTTATCTGCTTTTCCTGCCTTCTTTTGGGCTAATCCATACTTTTTAGTATTCAGTTTTATTTCAGTTATTTTTTTTTAGCTCTAACTCTTTTATAATTTTCTAAGCAGTTGGGCCAATGATACAGATCAGTAACTTATTAAAATCTACTTACAGTTAGTAACATCACTTTACATTTCTACCACTTATCAGATACTACCCATTTCTGATTACTATGTTGACATTCTCTGCCTTGAAACAGACTTCAGGACTTAACCATATCAATAATTGCCAAGTAAGAATGAACAAAACACTCCAATCAGAAGGCAGAGATGATTAGGGCTGGATAAAAAAGAAAGACCCAAATAAGATGTGTAAAATCTCTACTCCAGGAGACAGCATCCTGATCGTAAAGAGTAACAGAGGGTGGATGGGGAGTGGTGGTACACATCTGTAATCCCAGCTACTTGGGAGGTAGAGATAGGATTCCAGTTCTAGGCAAAAGTTAGTGGGGCCCTTTCCCAAAGAATAAGCAAGCACGGTGGTACACATCTGTAATCCTAGCTACTCAGGAGGCAGAGGTAGGAGGATCGAGGTCTGAACCAGCCCAGGAAAAAGAATGAGATCATATGTGAAAAACATACTACAGCAAAAGGACTGGGGCATAGCTCAAGTGGTAGGGCACTTGACTGACAAGTATGAGGCCCAGAGAGATAGACTGGGAGGCACTGAAGGAAGGTCAGCAAATCTGGGTGCTTGGAGCAGGACAAAATCTGAGCTTGACATTCTGGCTCAGTCTTCAACTGTGCTGGGACATTTACAGAGTGTTCTGGTGGCTATGTAAGATCAGTATGTTCCAAAAGTCATTCCTCAGAAAATGGGCCCTGGTCTTCCTGAGGAAGGTGAGGCGACCACATCGTCAGCTGGAACTTGCATTTGCTCTGAGTGGTGAGGACTCCAAAAGAGGACCTTCCAACCAGGGGCACAGACCAGGGTTTCCTGTTTGGCATCAGGGGTGACCCAGACAGGTGAGGCAGAAAAGGCCGGATCCAGGCTGCACCACTTATGAGTGGTGTGACTTTGGGTGAATCATTTCACTTCTCTGAGCCACAGGGCCCTCACCTCTAGTGGGTTGTGCAGGGCACATCAAGGACAGCCATCAGGAGTCCCTGACCAAGCTGACCTTGTAGAGATGCCACAGGCATTTCGTGAGGTGGTGAAAAACAACCAACCTAGGTCCTGGCAGGCAGGACAGAGTAAACCAGAGATGGCATGTCCATTGAACGCACGGCCACCAAAAACTCAACACAACCTCTGAACTGAGCAGAACTGTGAAAGGAAGAATGCAGCCTACATCACACCAAGGATCAGGTGGTCCAGTTCTGGTAACCACACTCATGGTGACATACTTGTGGAAAACCTTGGCAGGATCTGCATTTTCCTACAACGGATATGCTTTCAATCTGAAATAAGAAATTTACTTCTAGTTGGTTCTGTGCCTCTCTGTCTATAACTCCATCCATCAAATGGAATTAAAGGTATATAGGTAGCAACAGTAGGGTAGACATCCCATCATCTCACACCATGAGGCTGCTGGAGAGAAGGGCCACCCTGTAGGACTGAGGAGGTGTTGTGGGAGGTGCTGGGCAGAGTGGGCTGGGGGATGGAGCAGTCGGCATGAACACGAGAACCAGATGGCTTGGATTAAGTCCTGGCTCTGTCACTTATAGCCTGTGTGACCTCAGGTCACCTTTCTGAGTCTGTTTTCTCATCTGTAAAATGAAGGTAGCAGGAGTGCCACTTCTGAGGGCTGAGCTAAGCATCAGGGGCAGGTGACACGTGAGGGGCATAGCGCTAACAGTTGAGTGCTCCAAGCACAGGGACACCCACTCTGTGTCCATCCTTGTGAGGACAATCTCCCACACACAGGAGCCACGGTGAGGTGGGCCAAGCAGTCACAGAGCAGAGCCAGCACCCAGCTCCAGTCTGTAGCATCGGCCTGCCCAGCCCTGATGGTGTACCTGACAGGAGCAGCCACAGTGGGTATGGCTATCACTGTGAATGAAATGACAATGGGCATTGATCGGCAGATAAAAGCCTATGAGGTTGAATGCCCTGTGTGGCTCTTCATGAGCCTTCCCTAGTTTTTTGCAGAACCAGGGATGGACCTTGAGCATGCTAGGCAAGTGCTCTAACATTGAGCCAGGTGCCCAGTCCTTTTGTTTTGCATTTTCTTTGCTACAATTGCCTGGCCTGGCCTTCAACTCTCCATCCTCCTGCCTCTGCTTCTTGAGTAGTAGTAGGATTACAGTCATGGGCCACTATGCCCAGCTCCACTGGGCATTCACATAGGTGGAAATCCTGGGTATACTGATCTGAGCTTAGAGTCTATCCTCCTGCCACGGAAACACAAATGATTTCTGTACTTTGTCATCTACATTGTATTTTCCGAGAACTCAAGCACCATGTCAATCAAGGGAAGAGTTGTCACCATTTTGCACAATTAACCTGCCCTCAGTGGGTTTGACACAAATCCGACATCCTATACTTAGGGCTGTGACACCAATGGTGATTCTACATCTAGTACAGTGGAGAGGGTAGGGGGGAATGAAGCTCTCCAAGCAGAGGAGCAGCATGTGCAAAGGCCCTGGGGTAGAAGTGAGTTACGCTACAGAACTGAGACAGATCCCTGAGGTGAGCTGGAATGGACACAGGGGAATAAAGTGGGTAACAAGGTCCTGGGAGCCCAGCAATGCAGGGCAGAGTGGGCTATGCTCAGCGTACAGCACTGAGAGGCCAAGAAGGGCTTCTTATCAGAGGAGGACCGGTTCAGATTTGCATACTGAAAACCTGCACTGCACAGTTAAGCATGAATGGAGGGGGCAACAGTGGAGGCAGGGAAGTGGGCCTCCTACACCCCACTTTTGGTGCTTACCTGACTCTGCTACCTCGGCAATGGGTACTCCCTGCTCGTACGCCATGAAGCCCAGGACAGAGAAGATGGCAAACCCTGCCACAAAGCTGGTGCCACTGTTCAGGCAACAGAGCATGATGCAATCTCTGCAGGGAAGCAGTGAGAGGGGCTCAGGTCAGGGCTGGCAGAACAAGCACCTGCTAGACCTCCCCACCTGAGCACCAGCATCCTGAGGGACAGGCGTGGAGTGCAGGCAATAATAGCCCCATCTCCCTGATGACACACTGGTGGCTCAGAGGTTAGGTGGCTGGCCTGTGGCCACACAGCTTCTTCTACATCTCTAGAAGACAAGGTAGGGCCAAATGCAAAGCAGAGAGAGGAGAGTGAGGAAGGGAGGGAGGCTGGCACCAGAGGAAACATAGACTAAGAGAGAATGCTTGGGGACCAACCAACACTCCTCTTGTCTCTGGTAGCAGGGAAAGCCAGGGCCAGCAGGAGGGGACTGTATTCCCAGGTACACAGTGCTCTGAAAGTGAGAGAAGCCTCTGTGTGAGAAATGGCTGCTTCTCAGGCAGGAGAGGAACCTCGGACCTCATACCTGGAGCTCCCGCAGCTTCCAGGAAAGGTTTTGTCGCGATAGCCATCTTGGTAGAGCAATTCACTTAGCAGCACCTCCGGCCCATGCTGCTTGGGCTTTGCAACACTGCTGCAAGGAGCAGCTCTGCCCATCGAAGCCCTCGTGAGCAGTGACTGTGCCCTGCTTTTGAGAGGGACTCACCAGCTAAGCAGCACCAGCACGAAAAGCCAGCCTGCAAGTGGAGGTGCCCTCAAGTCTCAGCCCTTTGTACAGCTAAGCCCAAGAATCAGCCTCTTAGGGTCTCAGCCACGGCAGTGGTGGGCTTGCGGCTCAGGCCTCTGTACAGGGGAGATGTGCCCAGGTGGCCTGACCCACCTCTGGCCAGAGGCGTGACCGGCCTGATGGTGCTGGCCTCTTACACGCCGTGGCTTGCCATCTCCTTCTGTAGTTCTCTCCTCTTGTGCTCATTGCAGAAGAACCTCCTCACATTGTGTTGGACCAGGCAAGCTTTGGTTTCACCTTGAGGCATCCTGGGGCTCCTTGAGGTTAGGGAGAGCTGAAGACAGTGGGCCCACAGCTCCGTAAAAGATGTGTTCTCCCAGTAAACATCCCAGCTCCCTTCCCGATTCTTCACCTGTCCCTGATCTGTCAGCCCCTCTTCAATCATCACATCCAGGACTGAGTACTATCTAAAAACAGAGTGAAATTCCCTCCTCCTTTCCCAACACCATGCTTTCTGTAATGCAACTATGAATTACACCAATATTAGTGACTAGCACCCTGTGACCTTGCAATGACCCTGGGAATAGAAGCATGGCAGAGAGAGAGCATTAAATCAGGAGTCAGGAGCCTTGGGTGCCATTTGTCCCTGTAGTGTCTTTCTTTGGCCCCGATCTCATCACCGCAAACAAGAAGACTGGATAACTGGGTCTCTTGGACCGTGTGATACATCAAATCACTTTTAGCAAGGAGTCACTCCCCCTGTCTTCTTCCTTGGGGCAGAATGTCTCCCTGGCCCACTGATGATGAGATGTTAGCAGATAGGATGCAAACAGAGGCTTGAGTTGTGTCTGCATAACTGGGCTTGTCTTTTATAATTTCTGTGATTTTCCATGGGAAGAACTCCCTGGGGGAGCTGCTGTCCCTTTAGCCTGGGATCCACAATGTGCACATGTCAAGCAGACTTGCGCCTGGCTTGGAACCAATCCCACTTAATCCACAGCTTGGAGGAGAGCTTCTCCAGGTGACCAGCAATCTTGGGAGTAGTGGAAGCAAATGCTTCTCATGGTCATTCCCTGAGGCTAGGGCTGTTTGTTACATGGCATTATCATGGCAGGGGATGACTGATACAGATCCTTCTAAAGAGCTCTTCAGGCATTGTGAACGTTGGCCAGCGGGTGGACCTGAGGATGCCGTCTGCAAGCCTGATCCCCCCTGCCCTGCCCCCATTTTGAAGGAAACTCAACTGAGCTCAGGCAAGGACCAGGATGTTCCTAAGGAGGGGAGAATCTGCACCTCAAGTCCAAGGCCAAATGCCCCTGACTTATCCAACAGTGGAAATGAGATGATCTGGGAGGAAAGCATTTTCCTCACATAGGCAACAGGACCTCCCAGATCATGTATCAGCCCTGCACTAAGCCTCACTGAGACCTGAGGCTTGGGGAGGGGGGTCACAGACTACAGGTCTCATAGCCAGCTGTCAGTGAAGTTGGAGGCGTGAATCCAGTTGTGTGAGACACCCTTTCTGGGGACTAAACAAAATGATGCACCCTAAGAATGAAGACTCCCAAAGCTCAAGTGAAGACAGTTATCTCTGGTATCCACATAGGGGGTGAAAGACAAATGTCCCTAGTTACAAGAGCCCCTTTTCTTGCACAGGCCTCTCAAATGACTTCCTCATACCACAGAGAGACAGACAGCATGGCAGAGAAGCTCTGGAGGGATCTCAGGTCTCTTCAAGCCCTGTGACCTGCCTGCCAGCCCCCAGAGCCTACCCATCTTCAAGCAGTCATCCGTGCCGGAAGCTTAGTCTGTTCATTTCCCATCCCTTTAACTCCTCCGCACCAGCACCAGCATGCTTGGGCAAAAAGCTTATGTAACAAGTGCTTTGAAGTCAGCAGGAGCAGAGCTGGATGTGCAAGACCTCCAGAAGCGTTAGTGTCAGGAGAGAGGGGATTAATTTACTCTGAGCTGGGAAGACCAGCTTGTAGAACAATTCAGAAACAGAACTAAAATGAGTCTTCTGGTTTTACAATGTCACCCAAGGAATTTGCTTCTCTGCTTCCTTCTGTTGATGAGAGAGAGAGAGAGAGAGAGGATGAGAGAGAGAGAGAGAGAGAAGGAGAGAGAGAACACAAATGCCTGCTGGGTAGGAAAGTGGAAAGGGTCTGCAGCTGCCAGCAGGTATCACTGGTACTCATTAGTTAAGAAGCAACTGCCCCAAGACACAGGATGGCAACAGCCTTGGTTAAACCTCTTCAACTCCCAACTCCAATAGCTGGGAAACACCTAGCCACCCCTTGGCAGTGAGAAACAGGGATCAGGATATAGGGAGTCTTGGGTAGAAAGCCACCTTCCATTACCAGCAATGCAAACGTGGGCACCATTTTCTTGTTTATACATGACACGTGGCTGTTTATGTCCTCACATGAGCCAACATGACTAGGTCTGAGGACACAGTGAAGAATGAGGAAATCCCCCATGCCCTCCTGCAGCTGACTGCCTGGCTGGAGGTGCTGGACTGTGACGAGGGACTTCTGCAGGCCTGGCACAGGGGCCCACATGGGGTGCAGGACATAGGCCACGGCTGGAATTTGTGCTGCTCTCCCTACAGAGCACCTGTCCCCTCCTGTCCACGGTTCATGTTTGGTGCTGTGGCTGACAATGTGTTTTACCTTTCACCCCTAGACCCATCTCTGCTGTGAAAGCCTGAAAGATGGAAAGGACCTCTTGGAAAACCAGCCTGACAGCATCCTTTTGTCTGGCCACACCCATTCACCTCTTGAAAACAAGACTCACAGCCTAATGTCACCCTCAGTTCTACATTCCAGCATGTCAGACCTGACCACTTTAACTTCCCCTGTGCCTCAATTTCCCCAAATTACAAACTCAGTAGACTGTGCCATCACTGTCTGCCCTCCCATGGCAGACACAACCTGTACCCTGCTGACTTAACAAATGGGTTCATAAAGTGACACTAAGCTGACTTTCAGGAAATATGTGACAGAGGACCCTGGGGTAGACATTGGAAGACATCAGTCAGGGTTGGTCAGGGTCCAGACACCACATCTAGCTGGGGACCACCTTGATTTCCCCGTTTCAGAGAGGGACTCTATCACTTACAAAAGTCCTTTAAAATGCCTGCTTCCACTTGAGTCACGTTCTCTGGCTGTTAGGTCCGAGTCCCTGTCCCACCAGCAGCCTATGACATCCCCCTCACCCATACCCCCACCTACATTGAATGGGATTCACTTGGAGACCACTGGCAATTTGCTAGCTGAGAAAAAACCAATCTTGTCATTTTTGCTTTGCTTATTTTTCTTTTGATGTTTTTCATATTGATATCTTCATCTTCTTTATAGATTATGGATCTAAGCCTCCCATACTAGTAACATATGCTACTAGTATGCCTTTAAATTTTGGAGATGATTTTCATATTTTATTTGGAGAGTAAGCAATATATAGATATTGATACTAATTTGGTTTTTTTAAATTATGAAAGCAATATGCTCTCAGCATAAACTGAACAAAACAACCTACACTGCACAGGAGGCAAATGAGGGAAAGCCCCCATCCCCATGTCCTCCCAGGCTTAGTCTCTAGTGGCTACTTAGCACAGCTTTCTCTATTTGCTCCCAGACATTTTAGGACTTCTATAATTTTATGCGGATCAACCTGTTGCTTCCTTTTTTGGGGAGGGAGAGTTGGTACTGTGGTTTGAATTCAGGGTCTTGCCTCTGTTAGGCAGGTGCTCGGCCACTTAAGCCTCGCTCCACCCTTTTTGCTTTATTTTTTGAATAGTCTTTTCCATTTTTGCCTGGCCTGGCCTGAAGCTCTCCTATTTATGTCCTATTTATGCCTTCCTCAAAGCTAAGATGACAGGTGCACACCACCACACCCAGCTTAGTGGCTGAGATGGGGTGTCATGAACTTTTTGCCAGGGCTGGCCTCAAACCTTAATCCCTCACCTCTCAAGTAACTGAGATTACAGGCATGTAACGTTGTGACCGGTAACTTGTCACTTTCCATTTTTGAAGTTTTGTACATCTTTTCATAGTCTAAAATCAATACTTTATTTTGAAAGGATGATTTCCTTTCAAACAAGATGTAACTCTTTAATCAATCTGACACTTACTATGCTGAATATAGGTGATGAGCTTTGAGGATCTAATGTTTTCATATTCCCTGAATACTTATCCTATCTCTGGATCACTCGTTTGAAAAACTCTCTCCTTTCTCTCTCCCTATCCCACAGTCTTCCTCGATGAAGAGCCCTTGGGTTCTAAGGAAGAAGGATCTGTCCACTCATTAGTGACGTTTCAGCTACTGTATGTAGCTGTGGAGAGGTCTCAACAAACCATCATCACCAAGTCACAGGCCAGGGTGCAAATTCCCTTCCCCACACACTGCTGGTGACCTTGGGCTCGTCCCTCGCCTTCCGTGGGCCTCAGTCTCGCTGTGGAACTCAGGCTGCAGGCATGACAGGCTGGGCAGCCATTGTCAGACAGTCCTGTTTGCCTCCCTGCTGAGGCCCTCCCAGATCTGGGTGTGGCTGCTGCAGTAGGCCAGGGAGGGAGGCTGGTCCAGGCAGGGCACCTGCCACCTCGGGGGACAGGAGAGGATTCTACTGTCAAGTGAGAAGGACTAGGAGGCAGATTTCTGAGTCAAAAGCAGAAACAAGGCCTCAGTGTCAGAAGACCTAGGTTGACATGTTGGCATTACTACTTATTAGCTGTGTGACTTCAGGTGTGTTATCTATCCCCGCTGGTATAAAGCTGTGCCATACAAGGTGGCACTGAGGCCTGACTGAGTCTCTGAGGGTGGATCTGCCTTGTTGCCCATGTGTTATTTTCCCAGCTCAACTGGTGGACCCCTCTGTGCCTGGAAAGGGACAGGCCAACAGGCAGCTTTGTCTCCTGGGTCCTGCGTGGTGGGCAGATGAGTGGGAATGTGTGGGTGGTGCACAGGGTTGTGGAACAGGAGGGCCAGTGCTCACCTGTAGCAGTTGTTGTTGTAATTGTTATAGCTTCCCAGAGCAGTCAGGCAGCCCAGGCAGATGGCGTAGGAGAAAAAGATCTGGGTCCCAGCATCCACCCACACCTGTAAGAGGACAAAGTCACAGTTGTCGAGATGAGTCAGAGGAGGGACGAAGGGCACTTGTTCTCCAGCATCCCACAAACTCCACCAAGGGACCATCAGCCTTCCTAACCTACTCAGGGCACCTTTTTAAAAGGAGTTCTGTTTGTAGGGACTACCACATTAAATATGACTCTAATGAATTTCACAACTTCCCAGATGTTTGGATAATAGTTCACAGCATAGTAAGAATTTGTATATTTAGGATCATGGCTCCAGCTTGGAAAAGTTACTCAACCTCTCTGAGGCTTAGTTTCCTCATCTGCAAGTTAGGAAAGGGAATTTCCTAACTTGAAGAAAACTGCCCAAGGATCAGTTCAGGGAAGGCTTTTGTTCAGCAGCCTGGACCACAGAGAAGGCAGACTGCCAGTGTGTGTAGGGGTTGTGGGGTTGTGTGTGTGTTTGGGGGGGGTTTTTGTGTGTGTGTATGTGTGTGTGTGTGTGTGTGTCTGTCTGTCCTGGCTCTTGGCTTTCCCTGGAAGACATATGGTCACTAATTTCTGAGTGTCCAAGTTCCCCTCTCATAAAAACTACTGTGGACAGCATGATATGCACCATGGGAATTATAGTGGCTTTTCTAGTACTTTCCCTTGGGTACTCTTTGAGTCCAGCTCCTAGAAGTTTCCAAGGAAAATCTATAAGTGACACCCAAGTGTAGCTGATGAGACTTGGGTGTGAGCGTGGAGCGCCCACTGGGGACAGGGCTGGACACTAAACAGAGAGACCGGCAGATTTTATTAGGCTTGGGAGATGTGCCAGGCATCTTGCTGAGCCTTTAGACAGAACTGCCCTCCAATCCTCACAGCAGCCCAATGTGGTGATTGCCATCAGCCCCTTTTGTGGCCAAGGCGACCACGGAACGAACAGAGGGTGAGTATCACACCCAAGACCACACAGCTGGGGAGTGGCGGGTGCAAATCCACAGACCCACGAGTCCCAGAACTCCAGACTTGGAAGCAGCCTCGGGATTCTCTGATGTAGTCTCTTAGCACAGAACTGTTTTCCATGTACTTTTGCTGGAAGAGTCTCTGCTTAATCGCTGCCAATCACAGGGAGCTCGCTGGTTCCTGAAACAGCACCTTTGTTCTTTGCAGAGCTCCGGCTACTAGATTATTTCTTAAAATGGGAAGAGCTCTCCCTCCCTGTGTTCCTGATTCTGGAGTGGCCCAGGTCATATCTTTCTCTTCCATATGGTACCACTTTAGAGATTTGAAGACTGCACCACTGACAGCTAGACCCCCAAACTGTCCCCTCTGCAGGCAAAACACCAGTCCTCCCTCTGTCTGGGGACTTAATCCCATGGTACAGATCACTCTACCCTGAAGGCGTTTGAATTTGTTAGGTCATACAACAGTACCTAGGGAAACTGAAGGTCATGACACTGACTCTGAACTGAAGACCTGAATGTTTTTTTGACTCCTCTACCTGAGGCTCAGTGGGGTGAGTCCTAGAGCTAAACAAGAAGCCCTGGGTGAGCTTGTGCATGGAGCATGGGGGCTGTGGGGGGGGTCAGGGTACACTGAGACACGGAAAGAGAGACCATGAAAATAAAAATACAAAACTCAAGAATTTTTTCTGTGAAAGGGGAGGTAGGACATAGGGTCGTGGTGAAAAGGTAAGTGAAATTTAGGGAGAATTTTTTCAAAATGGTAGAAAGTTGAGGATGCCTAAACATTGATAGAAAGGGTCCAATGGAGAAAAAAATTGTTGAAGAGTCAGGAGAACAATGGACATGTTTTTAACACCATTGGCCCTGCCTCAGTTTCTCCACTTGTTATCCCACTGAATTCCCCTTTCTACTCAGGGAAGTAAATCTTATGGAGAGGCAGAAAACACTAGGCCTGTGACCTAGGAATCAAGAAACCAATTTTGAGTGGCACTTCACTGAGATGTGCCACAGCTGATCTAGCACTTGCCCTGAGTTGGCCACACCTGTCATTAAAGCTTCTGCAAAAGCAGTGTCTGTCCCTCCTCCAGGGTTCCCATAAGCCAGAGAGAGGGAGGCCCCAGACTGTGGGAAAGCCAGCTTGTCTGTCATGCCCAGACCCCATCCTATAGCAGAGTAGCTTCTCCCCAACATGCTTGATAAACTCTTGGAGCTACAACACACCTGGAGCTTTTGATGTGCACACTCCAGGGGTGCACCCCACAGTAAGGGTCCCTCTTGTGTTTGCTCATTGAACATATCAACACCAAAATAGACACCTTCTGTTTTTCCTTACTCAATGTCCATCTCTCCTTTTTGGGTAATGGCACCTCAATTTTCCTTTGGGAACCCACTTCTCTCCACTTGGAGGTAGCCTCGGGGGAGGAAGGTCTGGCCAGTCAAAGCATTTCTGTTGGTCACAGTGATTGGTTCAGGGATGAGAAGCAGCAGCAAGCCAAGTCAATGAAACTTAGTCCTGGGACTCTTAAAGGAGCTATTGCAAGTGGGACCCCTTCTTTTCTGGTGAGATGTTAACTTTGAAACTTCTGGGGGTCGTCACTTGCCCAAGAATAAAGCCAACACTCAGGAATACATAACCTAGAACCAACAAACACAGATAAAGGTGATATGACTTATGTCTCTGGATCCAGCCATGCCTGAAATCAGTTACCCTAGAACATTCAACTTCAGAGGTCCAGAAGCCCCTCTTTTTCGTAAGGTATTTGAATTGGATAACCATTATTTCAAATAGAAAATTTTTGACTAATCGCATTAAGTTCCTAGAAAAACATGGAGAATATACAAACTCTAATCCTTCAATCAGTCCTGCATTATTAATGGACCAGCATTTATTGAGTGCCTTCTGTGTGTAGAACCCTGTGCCAGATTCTGAAAAAAGTACTGCACAATTAATTACATATAGCGCTCCATTCTGTCATCAAGTGAAATAAATGAAACATTCACAAAACAAGGTGCCCCATCCCTAGGAGAGGCAGATGTGGCAGAGCGCTGTGCATAGGACAAGCAGGGAAGGCTGACTGGAGAAAACTTTGCTCCCAAGAGTGCAGAAGAAGACAAGAGGCCATGTTGGGCCCAGAAGTTCATGTGTCCTCAAATGATTTTTGCTTCATGTTCCCCTACCTCAGTGGGGATAAGCCCGGCATTTTTATTCTAATGGTAACCATATTTTAGTGGTTACGATTAAACCAGCACCCAAATGCAATACCCTTAGTCATCTCCTTTTTTTAAAAAATACTGACTGCTAATTCTCTACCAAAGGTGAACAATAGCCTCTCTCTTCCTTCCCTTTTCCTTGCCATCCAACATAAAGAAATATCCATTTGCTTCCAGGGACACTTGTCAGTGTGTTAATTAATTCTGTGACATTTTTCACATACACTTTCCATTTTCTCCTGTTGTTTAAATACATGGACTATATGAGCATTACTGGAACACACAGACATTAAGCGATATACTATTGGTGTGAGTTCTATGGTGGCTATAAATTAAACACTCCCCTCCTCCCAGTGCTTACATCAATACCTTTCAAGGCAGTTTCGTTGTATGTAGCTTGTTCTCTAGTAATTTCCTCAGGAGAGGTTCATGGAGCTAATGTTTCCTGCATCCCTGCATGTTCATATGAGCTGATCTGAGGTTTTCATATCCAAAAGTCTATTTTACAGTACATAAAATCCTTAGATCTCTTTCTTTTCCTGAGCATCTCAAATTTATTGTCTAGTTGTCTTAGGCGCAAAGTGCTGTGGTATAAAATCTGATGCCAGTCTCATCTGCTTCCCCTCACAAAGCACTGATTCTTTTTGTCTGGATGTCCAGTAGAAGAAAACCTGCTGGTAGTCAAATAGTGTTACTAAGATATGTCTTAATGCTGACTCCTTCTGGCTTGATTTTTCCAGGCTCGTGGTGGACTTCTTCAAGACACAAGTTCAGACAACTGCACTCCCATGTTCATTGCAAAAGCATTCACAATAGCCAAGAAATGGAAACTACCTAAGTGTCCACTGCTGATGAATGGGTAAAGAAAATGTGGTCCATACACAGAATGGAATACCAATTCAGCTATGGAAAAGAATGAAACCATGATTTGTGACAACATGGAGATCATTATTTTAATAATGCATAATAAGCCAGGAACAGAAAGGCAGGTATCATAGGATCTTACTCATTTGTGAATTGGTATCATAGAAGCTGAGAGTATGAATGGTCATTAGCAGAGACGGAGAAGAGCAGGGAGGGATGGGGTGAGTTTGGTTACTGAGTGCCAAGGTGACCAAGTTAGAGAAGAATAAGAAGCTCTGATGGACCACCACATAGTAGGGTGACTACAGGTAATAATAACGCACTGTACATTCCAAAAAGCTAGCAGAAAGGACTTTCAAGGTTTTCAAATATTTGAGGAAACGGGTATGTTTAACCTGATTTAAATATTATATAACATATACATGTATTTGAAACATTACAGGATAGCCCATTAATTATACACAATTTTTACATCTTTATCTGTTAAAACCAATTTTAAAAGATGCAAATTCAACTCTTCTCTTTCATTTCAGGAGAAAAACGTCCCTGAATTATTGTTTTAGTATTTATTCTCTTCCATTGCTTTATATTTCTTCTTTAGGAACTTGTATGTATATTGGACCTTCTTTGTCTATTGTCTATACTCACCAATTTTTCTTGCATTCTTTGAAAAAACAAAAAACCTCTTTATTCAATTCTACCTGATTTTGATTTTCAGTTTCATCCATTCCATTTTCTTTATCACATTCACCATTCACTCTTACTCCTTCCACTTACTTTCCTGAAATAGTTCTCATTTTATAAGCCAGCCTCTTCTTGGTGCTCTTTTGCAGTCTTCTTTTTGTCAACAATTACATTTATGCTGTTTGTCTCCTAGCATCTGTTGGCTTCTTAATCTCTCTTAGCTGGTTTTGAAATACTACATTTAGTGTTCAGCTGTTTTGTGGGCCTGTCTTTGTGAGCCACGCATTTATCACCTGTGGGTGATAACTGTGTG